AGGAGCAGGAGATGCCTGTTGCTCCCTTTGCACAATGCAATGCACCTTCTGTCTGTCCAGAATACTGGTCTGTATGGACCACAGCTCAAGAAACAAGCATTTCTTGTTTACGACTACAAATCCTACATTTAATACGAAACTAGGACTTAACTGAGCTGAGTTCTTCTTTTACATCACAAGCTATGGAAAAACAATTTTCTATGCTGCTGGTTATTAGATTACACAGATTCAAAAGTACACGACAAAAATGCCAGACTTTTTTTTTAAGGGTGTGTTTGATTTTGTGGTGTGGTCCATGTTGATACTACACATTTCCCAGTCTTTTGTTTGTAATAGAATAGCACTGGAGTCCCTGGATATCCTCACAGGTTTGCTGTGTTGAATTACTGTTTGTTTTTTTGCCACAAAATAATACTCCACATAAAAAATACCCCTTATTACAGCATTTAAAGGCACAAAAACAGTACTACATTATGGTGGTGGCACCCGAAACAGGTCAGAATTAGGTTCTGAAATCTTCTGACTGAATTTGTACATAGCCTCTTGAGCTTTGTGTATGAGTCATTTCCACTTTCATGAAGAAAGGAAAGCCAACTGACCTAGTCATGAATGCAGAGATTAGAAGTCCCTGTTGTAAAGGTGCTAGCTACAACTACACAGTGAGAAAAATGTGAATGAACTTGCTATAAAGTTGCACCCAGAAAGTCAGGTTTCTCCAGTTTAATTCACTTCAGCCAACCACACAGGAATCAGCAGAGAGGGGGAGGAAGTCAGACTTGTTTGCAGCTTCTTAATGATTTGAATTATCTCCTCCTTACACTTGGTGCCTAGGTCTGCTAATTTTCTTTTTCCCTTTTCTCCCTCCTTCCCTTTCTCAGGCTTGCTGTTCTAGCACTATCGAAGCTAAGTGACCAAAGAAATGGGTGGGTGGGGGGAAAGAATCAGTGGAGAGAGGGGAGAAAGCAGGTTGCTCTGCTCTGGCTATACAGATTTGCAGGAGGCACAGGAGCAACTTTCAAATTTTCACACCTCTCTCTACAGATTCTTCTCTCTTTCCCCCCACCTTTATTCAACCTGCTCTAATGCTAGGGCGGCAAGACTTTGAAAGAAAAGAAGAAAAAGAACCAGGATGGGAAGGGAAGATGGAAACAGACACAGGCACCAGGTGTGGGGAGTAGAGGATTCAAAAGACACCTGGTTTCCCCACTGCCCTGCCTTTCACTGCTGCTGGATCTGGCTGAAATGATTTTAAATGCAACAGCAACAAACCCCTCCACATTGACTAAAGCAATCACACCACCTAAACAAACACAAAGGCATTCAATAAAAAAAACTAATGGCACACCCTCATTACAAGGTTCTTTAATTCCTCCTCACTTTCTGCCATCAGAGTGGTATCATCTGCATATCGGAGGTTGTTGATATTTCTTCCTGCAATCTTAATTCCAGCTTGGGATTCCTCCAGTCCAGCCTTCCGCATGATGTATTCTGCATATAAGTTAAATAAGCTGGGGGACAATATACAGCCTTGATTCTCAGCTACTGTTAACATTTTTTAAAGATCTTCTGACTGCTGAATAATGGATGGTAAATATTTATCTCTACAGCCTTGGCATGTGAGAGTACATGGTTGGCTATTTTCTAAGTCACAAGGTATTTGGACAAAAACATTTAAATATTTTTAATATAAAATGAATATGCTACAATACATCTAGGCAGGAAGAAGCCATTTTAGAAAAAAGAAATGTCAATGACTTCGGCCATTTTGGAGAAGAAGAGCAAGGAAAATAAGCTTTTAGCTACTGAGGAAAGACAAACAGCAGAAAATAAGGTAATAAGGTATGGAGTGGAGATGTGTAAAGGAGTAGGAGTAGAGGTTAAAATCAGAAAGCTGATGGAAGAAGATTGAATGGAGTAAACGAAAGTGGCCATACTACTAGCATTAGATCAGTTTGGGACCTGGCACAGGGAGCAGTTGGAGAAACCTGTGTAACTTGTTTCAGATACTGTAATTGCTCAAAAGTTGTTGCTTATCACAAGTACCAAGCTTTCTTTTTGTGTGCGGTAAGGTAAATACAGGGGAAAGTTCACAGGTACTCCACCCATCTGTTTCTGAAATTCATTCAAGAGTCTTTACTGGGAAACTAGTATGGAAGGGATGTGGTGGCATTCCGGGTTTAACTGCAGAAGCCTCTGTGCTGCAGGGTCAGAAGACCAGCAGTCTTAAGATCGAATCCACACGACGGAATGAGCTCCCATCGCTTGTCCCAGCTCCTGCCAAGCTAGCAGTTTGAAAACATGTAAAAATGTGAGTAGATAAATAGGTACCACCTTGGTGGGAAGGTAACAGTATTCCATGTCCAGTCATGTTGGCCACGTGTCCACAGAAACTGTCTACGTACAAACGCTGGCTCTATGGCTTGGAGACGGGGATGAACACCGTGCCCTAGAGTTGGATACAACTGGACTAAACGTCAAGGGGAACCTTTACCTAACTAGTACTATAAACAGATGTCAGCTATCCATCTTTCTTTTTTCCTTCCTCTCTGTCTCTCAGCTCTGTCAAAACAGAACTTTAGCAGGTTAAGCTTTCTTCAGTGCTACCAGAAATGGTGCAAAACCTCAGCTCTTCAGTTTCTTGTACATTTCAGATGTCTGTTAAACGCAAAAGACAGGGGCAATAGTGTGCCTCCCCAAATATAAAAAGCAGAAACAAAGACAGGAGTTCATTAGCTTTCTAACACAGGTCTTGTTAATACATTCTAGACTTAGGGTTCTCCCCAGGTTTATGCACATTAAAAGAAATACCCACCAATGCAGATGGATTTTCATTTTATCTTATTTCCAGGCGAGGGCCGTGGCTGAGTGAGAGTGGGTTTTGCTAGAAAGCTGGTCAGTGTTGTTACAGGTATTTGACTGTATATGTTGGGATGGAAGTGAGCTGAGTTTCCCTAAGTGCTTCAAGACTTGGTTTGGTTTTTTTAATGGGAAACGTAACAAGCTATGGTCTATCCAGCCCATTATAGCTGGTTCCTTGGCCTTGCTTCTGTAAGGAACATGAAGGCGGGATGGATAAAAGATAATGCCCCCTTCTAGTTGGAGGAGAATACTTTTGGGGGGGATTTCCTCATGCTCCCTTTCTGATCTTCACAGATCTAGCCAGAACAAGATTTACCACATATACCAAGTCTGGCTAGTTATGTGTACTTATACCTCTCACCCTGGGAAAACTTCCTGTGGACACCTGTGCTCCTGTACATTCAACTATCTGTGTAACAGGTAGAAATGGTTAGGCAACCATTACAGTTCCATATTGGGAAATACATGTGCCTGTTCTGACAAGAGCTCTGTCAGAAAAGAAGGTAGAAATTCAATGAAGCTAATGAATGGATTATTCCTGACTAGCATTTTATGCTTTTTCCCTTCTGTCTAAGATTATGTTTAATGAAGTTGTTCCCCCCCCCCTTTGCCCCATGTTATTCTTATGCTGGGAAAATGTGTGAATGTATGTGTTAAACTGCTGTTAAAGGCACGGGAGCAGGGGGAAGGGGTCACACCCACAAAAGGAAAATATTCACCTTGATTTTACAGCTCACAGATACTTGGATTTCCAATTATGTCCCCATGTCCCACTATTCCTAGTGCAGCCGTGGCTTAGACCATATATAATTCTTACTCAGAAGCATCTTTATTTCTGCACAGCTCACTGGTTCTTCACACTGAATTACTTGCTGTTATAAAACAATTTTGTGGGATTTCTGGCATTTCCTCAGCTTGTAAGCACAAAGATATAAAAAGGCCTGCCCCTTCCAAAACAGTACTGTATTTAGCATGTGGCTGAAGAAAAAACACATAGAAATACAGCAAAGAAGCAGGAGATAACACAAGGAAGGGGGCAAAAGAAACATGGTAGAGCTATATAAGTTGCAGCATTTGGAAAGACATATTAGGGTATTATTTACTGGTGCCTATAGGCATACATTATATTAGTGGTGCTCATGAGAAAACCACTTATGCATACAGTATATCACAGAAGTGAGTACACCCCCTCACATTTCATAAATATTTTAGTATATCTTTTCATGTGACAACACTAAAAAAATGACACATGGCTACAATGTAAAGCAGTAAGTATACAGCTTCTATAACAGTGTAAATGTGCTGACCACTCAAAATAATGCAACACACAGCCATTTGTTGTTGTTTAGTCATTTAGTCGTGTCCAACTCTTCTTGACCTCATGGACCAGAGCACACCAGGCCCTCCTGTCTTCCACTGCCTCCCATGAGTTGGGTCAAATTCATGTTGGTGGATTCAATGACACTGTCCAACCATCTCGTCCTCTGTCATCCCCTTCTCCTCTTGCCTTCACACTTTCCCAACATCAAGGTCTTTTCCAATGAGACTTCTCTTCTCATGAGGTGGCCAAAGTATTGGAGCCTCAGCTTCAGAATCTGTCCTTCCAGTGAGCACTCAGAGTTGATTTCCTTCAAAATGGATAGGTTTGTTCTCCTTGCAGTCCAGGGGACTCTCCTTTCTTAACTATAATTTGAACCCCACTTCTCCCTCCCCCGGGTCATATTTCTGTAAAATAGGGCAGAGGTTTTTCAAGTAGTTGAAATGCTTTTGCAACCAGCCAAATGATAACAGATGTCAGAAATAAAAGACATTGTTCATACAAATAGTCACAAAGGTTCTAGAATAAAGTGTGTTCAGTTAAAGAAGCAACTTTTCCTCATATTGGGTTTTGAAATCTATCTTGTTTCGTAATGAAAATGATGCAAAATGGTTACTGAGGGTTATAAACCTTTCCACCCATTTTTGTGTAAACTTTCCCTGCCTTGTGTGCACTTATGTTTTTATACACGTTCAGTAGGTTGTACAATATTTTGCTCAAACAAAATTATAGACGAAAACAGGAATCTGTTTTTGTGGGGATTTTTAAGTCCAGCTACTACCACTCCACTATTAATTAATATAGTAGATGACCACAGAATGATTATTAGAGTTCAAGCAGATCAACAACAAATCAGATGCTCTTGCTATGCATACTGCCAAATTAATTTGTCTCTAAAAATCAAATAGCGGAAGATGGTGATGACAATTTTGTCATGCTAGAATTTAGCAAGTCAACCCCTCCACCAGAGTGAAATGGGGCTAAACATTTCAGCTATTTAATTTGTGCATCAAACTGTCATTGCAACTTAAGAAGTCTTAAAGTGGTGGTTATATTAGTCTGTTTTCAGCATAGCAAAATAACCAGCCCATCAAAAATTGTGCTTATGGCAAAGACAGGTTGATTTTAATGTAAACTTTCATGGATTATAATCCATCTTCATATGTATGGTGTACAAAATTCAAGCAGAATCTTATTTCTGGTGTCTGCTTTCCAAAAGAGGTGGGATCAGAGTAAAATGGAATACCGAAAATATAGATCTATATAATCCACAAAACTGTGTGCTGAAATAAATTTGTTATTTTAAAAATGCCACAAGCTTCTCTTTTCTTCCTAATCGTGTACTTGTCTGATAAGAAACCTTGACCTTAAAAAAAATATAAGTATCATTTTCCTGTTAAATTATACCTGTTGTGTAACCTGGAAAGGTTAGTTACTTAACAAAGGTAAGAACTGCATTCTCACTACTCAGCTCTTCTTTTGACATTCCTACATGGCAACAAGTTTCCCACACAGATAAGGCATTTGGCAAAGAATATTAAGGCAAGTTTTACAGAATGAGATTGTCTGCCATTGAAAGTATTTAGATCTAAGACATATTACATTAAATGGATTTAAATCACATTTTTTAAAAAAATTAAAAATCATTTTTATTTATTTTAAACCTTCCAAAATCCCATTTTAAAAAATTTCAATTATGAACTGCAATTCAAATAAATTTGATTTAAATCAAATTCACCCAGCATGTTAGAAAGCTCTGTTATTCATGCAGTATTTGTCAAAATGCTTCAAGGAAGTGAATGACCTTTCATAAACACACTATTCCTGTTCCTTACAGAAGTTCAGGTTATGAAAATTAACACATGCTGGCACATGTCTGATGCTTGCTTTCTTCAGAAGCCGCTGTTAGAGGAAGATTAAAGTAACCTATGTATTTCTTCCCCATAAGCATGCTATTGCCTTTTTTTCTAACACTAGCACACAGAAAAGTTGCTGCTCTGTGTACAGTATATGTGTTGTGTGTGTGTGCATGCTGTTCATAACTGCATGGCATGCTGAAATTCAAAAGTGTTGGCCCTCAATATATAAATAGTTGGATGAAATTACAAGTTGGATTTTTGCCTTAGATGTGGCTACCAAGGCTTCCATCTTGAAAATGTGGCAACTGAGACAAGAACATAAAATTTCAGTTTTCCTACATAACCGTCAGGAAGAGACTTCCCTGTGGAATGCTCTAGACCTGTACAAAATCTTTAAAATAGCTCAGAAAATGTCTCACTTTTCACAAGCAATGGATATCACCAAACACCCCTACCATGAAACTTGTTTAGCCTAGTCATCAATTCAGGCCTTGTATCTGCAGTCCTTTTGCAACACATACAATAGGCATTAGATTTAGATATGCTCCGTTTAGAACTAACCTTGAACTATTGTTGTTACCTTGTTCTACTGTAAGCAAACAACACTAGTAACAAATGCAGTTCCTTGTTATTCTTACTGTGCTTTAAGAATGCACTGGATAAGTGGTTTTCTAATGTTTGCCAGTCTTTGGTGGGAACAAAGGAGATCTGTCAACATATTAGAGAAGTTACAGGAATCCTGTATATATGCAATAAGCTTCTCCTACTCCTCCTATCCAACTGATAGAGGGCCGGCAAGGATTTTGCAATTTGCTTTACATTCAACAGTTTACTCAGTCAGTAAGCAGGTACACGAATTCTGCACCCAAGTAACCACCCCAGGCGATGCGTTATGAACTGGAAAGTGCATTTCCTCCCCCAGCAATCATCAATTGTGACTCCTTCTGCAACAGCAGCTTAACAGGGCCGAATTCCCTTTTGAAAGTCAGGCGCTGCTTTCCAGCTTCCTTGCTATCAAGATTATTAATAATTTAAAAGATCGATCGATCTCTGCAGTGGTCCAAGCCACAGTCTCCGTAGAAATCCGCTGAAACAAACGATTTGTAAAAGGAACTTGGTGGATTACCTGCCGCTGTTCGGTGGCGGATGCCCGGACGAGGTCACTGGAGCGGAGAAAACTACAGAAACTGAAACTGTAGCTGAGAGAAACTCGCGGGTGCGGCCCAGAGGCATCCACATCCCGCCTACATGCGCGCCCAGAGCAGCCTCGGGTTGCAGCCCGGCTATAGGCTCCTCGAGTGTAATCGGAGGCGGAGCTGCTGCAACTCGGGCGCCCGGACCGACGCTTCTTGCGGGTGTCGCAACGCCCCCCCCCCGCTCGAGGGCAAAAGGGAGGAAAGTCTGCCATTTCGTGCGGGTGAATCGTGAATAATTCGAGAGGCTTCGTTCTCTTCTAGAACCCGAGCGTTGGGCTTAAAAGCTCCAGAGCCTGGGCTCCTGACAATTTAGGGTCCTCTGCATTTAAACTGGGGACCGTGACTCAAGTGTTTGGCACCAGCTGCCATAGAGCAAGGCTTCTCTCCGCCACTGTCTACAATTGTTTGCTACTTTGTTCCTCTTTACAGACGGGGAAAGTTGCTGTTCTCGAATACAACTCCCAGAGTGCCACAGTAGTTATAACCAATATTTATTTATTTAATAAACCAAAGTTCCGGGCCCCCCCCACCGCCACGTGTAGTCAGGGTGGTTCACAATACAAATATCTTATCAGTATTTTTAAAAAACAACTTTAAAACAAACAACTTTTTTGCAAGGTGACATTCCACGAACAGCTTTGGCAGCAGTTCTTAGCTACCAAGGACGTCCTGGCGCTGCGGACTAAACCGCAGAAGCCTCTGTGCTGCAGGGTCAGAAGACCAGAAGTCCGAAGATCGAATCCACGCGACGGAGTGATCTCCCGTCCCTTTGTCCGAGCTCCTGGCACAGCAGTCCATTCTTCATGCAACCAAAATAGCACTATCCATATACAGGGGAGGAAATAAGGAGGTACCCCCAAATATCTGGAAGAAACCATGTGAGGGAAAGCTGTTTTAGTATGTGCCAAGGACGTCCTGGCGCTGCGGGCTAAACTGCAGAAGCCTTTGTGTGCTGCAGGGTCAGAAGACCAGCAGTCCTATGATCGAATCCAGGCGATGGAGTGAGCTCCCGTCGCTTTGTCCCAGCTCCTGGCAATCTAGCAGTTCGAAAGCATGCAAATGCAAGTAGATAAATAGGGACCAGCTCGGTGGGAAGGTAAACCGGCGTTCCGAAGTCGCGCTGGCCACCTGACCACGGAAACTGTCTTCCGACAAACGCTGGCTCTACGGTTTGGAGACGGGGATGAGCACTGCGCCCTAGAGTCGGACCCAACTGGACTAAATGTAAAGGGGAACCTTTACCTTTACCTTAGCAGTCTACAAATTTCTGCATGATTGGCCAAATATTACAGTATTAGGGAATACCTATTTGCAAATTGCAGCGAAGGAATGAAAATCATGATCCTCGCAGACACCTACAGCCTAACTGGATCTATTTTGAGGGTAGAGTCTGCCCCTTTTGAAGATCCGGCGCGACTCCCCCAGCTGTCCCGGCATTGACACCAAAAGCACCGATCCGGGCAGTTCTGTAGCAGTCATTTTCTTTCCCTTTGACACCAACCGATCCGGGCAGTTCTGTAGCAGTCATTTTCTTTCCCTCAATGGCCTGAGTGGGCGTCCAGAAGCATAGGGTAGTAATGTTAACAGTCACCCAGTACCCATTTTTGAACGGAACACTTTCTCTTACGACTCGTGTTTCCCTGAGAAAAGGAAGGCTTTTGCGCACGGACCCAGGCCGTGTCTTTCTACTGGACGCACGCTCCGTTGTCGTAGCAACCGTCTGGGCTCGTCCAATCCTACTGCGGCTTGCCACGTGAGGTCCGCCAGCCATGAGTTTCCGGGTTCCTTGGTTTGCAGCGCGGCGATGGCTGACCCGGGGCAGAAGCCCCAAAGAGCCCGACGTGGGCCCGGGGGCGAAAGTGGCCGACCTGCTAGAGGAGGCGATGGTTGGGGAAGAGGAGGAGGGAGGAGCGAGCGAGGCGCCGCCGCCGAGGACGAGGCGGGCGCCCGAAGAGGCCTCGGTGCTTCTCTTCCCTGGCCAGGGCAGCCAGTTCGTGGGCATGGGCCGCGGGCTGCTGCGCTACCCGAACGTGCCGGACCTTTTCCAGGTGGCTAAGGAAGTGCTTGGCTACGACCTGTTGGACCTCTGCCTAAACGGGCCCCGCGCCGAACTGGACCGCACCGTACACAGCCAGCCCGCCGTTTTCGTCAGCTCCCTGGCTGCCCTGGAGAAACTGCACCATCAGTGTCCGACGGTGAGTCTGCAGGCGGAAGAGGCCCAATTTTGAATTGGGGTGGCCTGAGTTTTATGAGCGTCAACACTCATTATAATCAGGCCTCTCCAAGTGGGAAGGAGATGGAACCTTCAGCTCTGTTCTAGGGTCACTACTCTGTGCCACAGGAGTGATACTCTTTCTGGCTCTTATATACAGTTTGCTGCTATAGGTGAAGATCTGTGGAGTAGGACTCCAAAATCAGAGTTCCACCAAATAACAACTCATTAGAAATGAGGTGGGTGACTGCTTGTAAGGCTCCCATCTCAGGCAGAGAGGTGGCCAAGAATGAGAAATCCTGTTCACTTTAAAGCTGTGGATAGTCTGAAGGACCTTGTTTGATCTACAGCTTCAGGTGCACTCTGGAGCCCTCCCCTTCACCCCCTCCATCAGGAAGAAGTCTGGAGAGCAGGCTGGGTGACAGCCTTGGTCTTGATTCTGAAAGGAAGGAAGTGGGGTTTCAGGGGTGTGGATTCAGCAGGTGGATGGTCTACCTCCTCTGCTCTTTCCGGTGGTATCCAACATCCTTGTCATCCTACCCAATCCACCCTTTTGTCTGAGAAGGAGAAGTCTGGAGTGGGGTGGTGAGGTGGGCAGTGGCTTGCGGGTCAGCACATGCATGCTAAAATAGTTTTCCACTTTGGAAGGAAATGGTAGGGAGCTTTTTAGCCCAATTTTACTTTGTCTCTTTTTGAAAATTGTACTTCTGCATAACTCTGTCCTCTAAACCTCCTTAGGCTTCCATCTTGTGGATGGTGCTAGAATACTTTCTTACGTTGAATGATCTGTTGGAATTTATTAGCATTGCAGCTGTTTCTAGAATAGCGACCAGAAGCCTGTTGCTGTTTTTACCCTGTATAAGGGAAGTCACATAAATCTTGCTGACACCTTGCTACAAATTAATGAGTTGCCTGGGCCTGGGCCCAATCAGGTGCATACAGCTAGCAACTTCTTAATGCATGGCAGCTGGCTGGCAAGAATAATGACATTTTCCTTATGCAAACATAAATTGACAATAGGATTCCAGCCGTGAGTATTTAGCTTCCTGAATGTGACGTATTTTGAGACTTGGTTAATTCCTACAGGTAGTTGAAAACTGTGTTGCAGCTGCTGGATTCAGCATAGGCGAATATGCAGCCCTTGTTTTTGCAGGAGCCATGGATTATTCTGAAGGTATTATAAAACATCTATTTGCTATAATATTAAAGCTTTATCTTTCATGTAACATGCTTGCAGTATCAGCATTGTATTGTGGTTGATGCAATGACACATTAGCTCATAATATCCACTAAGATCCACCTGCTTATGTCTTCCTGAAACACAAAGTGAAGATATGCATTTTTCTGTTGCTTAGGTAGGGAAACTGTAAATCAAAAATAATTTATTTAATTCCTTTTGTGATCTTGCAAGAAATCAAAATTACAGTGGTGCCCCACATAGCAATGATAATCGGTTCCGAAAAAATTATCGCTGTACGGATTTGTCACTATGCGGGGCAAAAAAAGCCCATAGGAACACATTAAAACACGTTTAATGCGTTCCTATGGGGGGAAAACTCACAGTTCTGCGAAAATCCTCCATGCGGCCACTATTTTCGCTGCCCGGTAAGCAAGGAAATGGTGCGAAAACACTGCGGGAGGCCATTTGCTTTACCCGGCGGCCATTTTGGAACCGCCGGTCAGCTGTTAGAAAATGGGGCGTTTGCAATGATCGGGGGAAGTGATCATTGCAAACGCCCCATTTTCGCACAGCTGATCGGCGGGGCTGCGTGATCTTCGCAAAGGCCCGCCGATCAGCCGTGCAAAAATGGGGCGTTTGTGACGATCGCATCCCCCCCAATCATCGCAAACACCCCGTTTTTGCACAGCTGATTGGCGGGGCCACGCGATCTTCGCAAAGGCCCGCCAATCAGCTGTGCGAAAATGGGGTGTTTGTGATGATCGGGGGGGGAGGCGATCATCGCAAAGCGATTTTTCCCCATAGGGAACATCGCAATGCGATCGCAAAAGTGATCGCAAAATCTTCATCTCTATGCGGATTCGTCATTAAACGGGGCACCCGTTAAGCAAGGCACCACTGTAGTTAACTTGATGGGGAAAGAACATTTTCATCAATATATATGATATGTGAGTTCAAGTACAGTGGACCCTTGACTTACAGACGGCTTGACTTACAGACTTGTTGAGTTACAGACTTCTCTGGTCGCAAAATTTAGGTTTGACTTGCAGCCTGAGAATTGACTTACAGACCAGAAAAAAAACCAAAATGGAACAAAAATGGCCTGTTACGGGATTAATCGGTTTTCAGTGCATTGTAGGTCAATGGAGACTTGACCTACAGACTTTTTAACTTGAGAACCGCCTTCCAATACAGATTAAGTTCTCAAGTCAAGACCCCACTGTATTGTATCTAATCAAGATGTGCAGATCTAGTTCTAGTTTGTTACTCTGTTTGCTAATTAATTGTTTTCCATTTCATTCATATGAAACAATGGTTAAGGAGGCTCAACCATAATTCGGTTAACCTTCCTTAACTATGCTATGACATGATGTCTATATGGACTGATTGTGGCAGTTAAACCAAAGTGAAAGCATTGAAGAAATGTCCTTATTTCTTTAGGTCCCTATAGAAATGCAAATTTCCACCTTTCATTCAAAATTAGTTCTTATCAGTGGTGCTTTAGGGAAACCTGTACTCCTTTGGGTGTTTATCAGACATTCCTCATCAATGATGGGCAGGCAGTGCACAGTTGCAGAAGAATATGTTGGGTATATTGCAGAATTCAGTTTTAAATCAAATGGGACAATAATAAACTCTTGTAGGCCATTCCAGATTCCACAGGATTCACATTACACATTAAAACATGTCCTGGAATCTTTTGCAACATATAAATAATGTAGTAGCTGGTTTGGTTTCTGAAGGGGTCACTACAAATAGAATTGAAGACTGCATTATTATTTGTGAAGTTGCGGTAGTTTTTCTTACAGAAATTGCTGAATTTATTTCAATATGAGGCCAAGTTTGCTAGATTTTTCTTCTTTCTTTTCTCTAGCATTGTATGCAGTAAAGGTGCGTGCTGAAGCCATGCAAGAGGCATCGGAAGCTGTCCCAAGTGGAATGCTATCTGTCCTTGGCCGGTATAACACAAATTATGTTGCCGCTTGCTCGGAAGCTCGTGAATATTGCAGATCAATGAATATAGAAAATCCAGTATGTGAAGTTTCAAACTACTTGTTTCCAGATGGCAGAGTCATTGCAGGACACTTGCAGGTATTATTTCAAAATGATGTTCTGATTATTTTAGAAAGAGTACAACTTTTCATTAATGTTGTTAAGAGCAACCAATACCAGTCTCAAAGGGCAAAGGACCATTTTTTTAGTTTGGCTGCTAGACTGGAGCCAGACTCCCAGATTGTTGTGGCTGAAGTAGGAAGATATGTGGTCAAAGTGACTAATTAGCTTCTTTAATTGTTTATATTAGTATTAGTAGGCATCCTTCAGTCTCAAGAGACTATGGTAACATACTCTGACTAGAGGTCTTAGAACAGCGTCTAGTGTGGCTGAGAAGCCCAATTCAAGAGTGACAATCCCTTCTACACTGAAGACAGTGCCCCCTGTCCAGCTCCCTGATTTTGCTGGTTTCGGGATTGCCACTTTGCCTCAGCCTGCTGAACAAGTGTCTCTTCAAATAGACTGCCCCATGGTGAAGAGGAAGTCTTGCATGCATTTCAGCTGGACCTTGGTCTTCGCTCTCAAACTAGAGAGATTAAAGAGCTTTCCATCTGATCTAGTCCAGAGATAGACACCTTCTGTTGCAGGTGCTTCTGCATGACAGCAAAAAGGATCTCAAACAGAGTCTGTGCGAGGACACAGGCCTGTTTCACTCCGCTTCAGATGTCAAAGGGATCTGATGTTGAGCCATCAAAAACTACAGTGGCCTTCATTTCCTCATGAAAGGACCTGGTGATGTTAAGGAGTTGAGGTGGACATCCATTCTTGGGAAGTATTTTAAAAAGGCCATCCCTGCTAACCAGATCAAAGGCCTTTGTGAGGTCTATGAAGGCCACAAAGAGTGGCTGTTGTTCCCTGCATTTCTCCTGCAACTGTCTGAGGGAGAATACTATGTCAGTGGTGGATCTGTTAGCTCGAAATCCACACTGTATAGAAATCCACACTGTGGATAGACTCTGTCTGCAAGCACCTGGAATCTCTTCAGCACAACATGGGCAAGCAGCTTCCCTACAATACTGAGAAGAGAGATCCCATGGTAGTTACTGCAGTCGTCCCATCTCCTTTGTTCTCATAAAATATGACGTTTGCATCCTTCATGTCCTGTGGTACTCCACCTTCCCTCCAGCAAAGAGAAAAGATTTCATACAGCTTGGTGGTGATGATCTCTTTACAGCACTTAAGCGGGGATGTTAACCTTCGCAGGGGCCTTGCCGGAGGAAAGGGAATCCAAGGCTGCTTTTATTTCTGCTAAAGTTGGTTCGCTGTCCAACTCTTCCAAGACAGGCAGGCACTCAATGTTATTTAATTCTTATTCGGTTACTACGTTCTCTCTGGAATATAGCTCAGAGTAGTGCTGCACCCAGTGTTCTATCTGCTGTTCTCGGTCCTGGATGATCATGCCTCTAGCAGACTTCAAAGGAGCTGATTTCTTTTTTATTGGACCTAAAGCCTGCTTGATACCATCATACATTCGCTTTATGTTACCTGTGTCCGCTGCTATCTAAATCTGAGAGCAGTGCTGAAGCCAATAATCGTTAGAACATCTCCTGGCAGTCTGTTGGACTTTGCTATGAGCAACTCGAAGAGCCTGCAAGTTGTACTCACTACAACAGGCTTTGTATGCTGCTAGAGCTCTCTTCTTATCCTTGATGGCTGGCATCAACTCCTCCAAATGAACTTTGAACCAGTTGGCCATCTTTTTTGTCTCCTTGCCAAACATGGGCAAGGCGGTGTTATAAACAGCATTCTGGAAATGTTCCCATCATTCAAGTGCATTTCCATCAGCCGGGCCTGGAAGGGTTTCCTCAAGCGCTTGGGCAAATTCCTCCACTTTTCTCTTATTGCGAGCCTTGCTGATGTCAATACATGGTCTTCCTTCCTTTTCCGTGTGATACAATCTCTTTATTCACAGTTTTACTCTGCTACATACCAGGGAGTGATCAATATCACAATCAGCACCCTGATAACTGTGTGTGATTATAATACTAGGAAGGCTAGAGCATCTAGTGTTTATATATTGTTTATATATTTATTTAAAAATAGATATGGCTAACTAATGAGGTTTATTTCTTTACAAAGTAATAAAATGATTTAATTTAGTGTTTTAAATAAAATAAAAATTGAGAATTCCTTACCCCAAATGTAGCTGCACATACATAATTCAGACATAATACAGGATTTTAATTTTTAAAACATTATTCTTTGTTCATGAAATATTACTTATTCCCTGAAAACCAGATTTCTTCATTAAATAAAAATGTTTCACAAAAAGAGGACTGTATTCAGATGTTCGTGGACTAAGAAAGAAAGAAGAAATGTATTAGTAGTATTTAGAACACTGGTACTTTGTTGAGTAAAACAGCCCTGAGTGGAGACAGGAGCACCTGAGAATTCCAGCTCTGTGATTCTCTGAGGTCTAAACCGTCCCTAAATGTTGAAACTCATAATTAAAAAGAACAGTCTCTAGTAAATGAGGAAGATGATCAGATTTCCAGAAGCAGAATTCAACTGAGAGAAGTCTTCTAAAAATGATTATCCTTGGTACTATTTATTTTTATGTTCCAGTGGTTGAAATCCAGAATAGGCCCATTGATTTGTGGGGATTTTGTAAGTCAACACTTATATAACTTCTATTGATTCAATAAGCCTACTCTAATTGCAACTTCTGCTTGATTTTAGCCTTTAAGTCCTTTTGTTTTCTGCTTTTTGAAATACAGTGGTGCCTTGACTTACGAACGCCTTGACCTACGAACATTTTGAGTTACAAACGGCTCTGTTCACAACATTTTGCTTTGACTTGCGAACGGAGTTTTGACTTACGAACAGAAAAAAGGCAGGGGAAAAGGGTGGGAAATTCAAATTTCTAACTGTAGGTGGCGATGAGGCGGCTTCTTTGTAGCTCTTTCTCCTGGCAGTTAGAGAGTGTGCGATCCAAGGAGGCTGCCTGCTAAGGTAAGGTGCTGCTTTATACTTTTTTAAAACTGTTCTGGCTATTTTTGCAGCGTGATTTTCGGCTGGGGGGCTTATGTTTCTATTCTGTGATGGGTCTTGGGGGGGTTGTTTTTTGTTCCCCGATTTCCGATGGAGGGGGTTTCGTTCCTTTAGGAGTGCTTTTCCTTGTTTCTGATGGGTCTTGGGGAATTTGTTTCCCCCCCATTTCCGATGGGTCTTGGGGGGTTTGATTGCTTTTGGGTTTTCCCCCCTATTTTCGATGTGTCTTGCATGCTTTTTGCTTTGTTCTCTTTGCATTTCTGATATGCTTCATTTGCAATGGTTCATGCATGCCTCTCTTGCTTTTTTGCTTTGTTCTATTTGCATTTGTAATCTGTTCCATTTGTTTTCTGTGCTTTTGCAATGGTTCATGCATGCTTCCCTTGCAAATCAGCAAAGTTTTTGCAAGGGTCTGTGCTGGCTTGGTTTAAAATGTGCTGGTGTAAAATGTGTGGGTTTAAAATGTGTTGGTTTAGCATGTGTTTTAGACTCCAAACTCTCTCCCTCTCCCATTGTCTTCTCTCTCTCTGTCTCCCTCCTTTCCTGCCCTTTTTTAACCTAAGTCATCTTACCGTTATTAAAAAATTCTCCACCTAATGGTAGAGAACAGGTTAACCGGTTTTGCATAAGTTCCTATGGGAATGAATGCTTTGACTTAAAAACCATGCCTTGACATAAGAACAAAAAACAGCCGGAACGGATTAATCGGGTTTCAGTGCATTCCTATGGGAAATGCTGCTTTGACTTACGAAGGTTTTGACTTACGAACACCATTTCATTATGGCTTAAATTCATAAGTCAAGGCACCACTGTACTTTTTCTTGTGGATGTTAAGATGGGTAATCAAAAACTGTTAACCTGTACCAATTTCTTCAAAATGTGATTACATGAATAGTAGCTAGGGAGTGGGTGTGGTAACTTTTTAATGTGTCTGTTTCTTTTTCATTTCAGGCTTTGCAGTTTTTGCAGAAAAATTCTAAAAAATACTCATTTGCACGTGTAAAAATGTTGCCAGTCAGTGGTGCTTTCCATACTCAACTTATGGAATCAGCAGCAGAACCTTTATCTGAAGTCCTCAAATCAATTAACATTCAGCCACCTCTCATCCCTGTCTATTCAAATGTGAACAGCAAGAGATACAAACAGCCCAAACACATCCAAGATTTGTTAGTGGAGCAGTTGGTTTCACCAGTGAAATGGGAACAAACAATGCATGTCATCTATGAAAGGAAACAAGGAATAAGTTTTCCTTTAACGTATGAAGTTGGACCTGGGAAGCAACTAGGAACAATCCTAAAAAGCTGCAATCTGAAGGCCTGGAGATTCTATAAAAACATTGACATTTCAGAAGAGGAAGAAAACTAAGAAGAAAACACAAATATGCCTTTAAGAAAAGTTTTCATGGTAAATTCTGCTCTTGTTCGCTGTCTGATGTTATGGACTTATTATTAATGATAAATCGATTTATTATAAATCTTGGTAGCATTTGTAGAATACATAATAAAACCCCTGTTGTTGAAGACACAGTTATAGGGTATGTTGACATTTGCTTCCTCTAGAACTACTGTGCTTAGAAGAATTGTTAACATGTGAGCAAAAGTTCTACTCTGAGCCATTCTGAGCCTTCCTTCTACAGATAGATAGATTTGCTCACAAACTTCTGCCACGGGGCAATCTGTTATGTATCTTAAGACAAAGTTTTTTAATAAACTGCCCAAAGTTTTAAGCAGACTACAATCTCAGAAAGTGGTGTGAAATTAACCAAGCAGAAATGGTTCTGAGAAGAGGCTGGAAGGGAAACCACAATGAAAACATATGTAATATGCCGTATCTTTTTGGATGAAGGGTGGGATATGAATTTGATGAATAACAGGTACCGGAAGTTGGTAGATAATTTTTGCCAATGTGATACAAAAGAAACTTTTTGCAGAGAAAGGATAACAAGAAAAAAATGTATGCCAGAGTCTATAACAAAACTGCCAGATCAGGTTTAAAAAGGATTAAACATTAAAGAATAGTGGATTAGAGAACCTTTCTAGCAGTATTTGAAGCTGTCTTCTGGAAAAGTACAACAGCAGTGTGTAATGTTTTTTAAAAATATTGTTGTTAGCTCTGCTGGTACATGTTGATAGGCATGCACAAGCCAAAACATTAGGAGTCAAATTCTAACAGGAGCCGTATGGCCTCTTGAAGGGCCCTGGCATATTCAAAGTGGGTCAAAACAAAGTTTTATTCTGTTTTTCTGTTCATCTGTTTGCATCAATTCCTTGTTTGACAGAGGCTATAGAACTTGAGAAGAGCTCCTGAAAGGGCTGTTGCCAAAACAAACAAAAAGGTTGAAAATGGCTATGTGCTATACATTTATTTGTAAAATCACAGATTTTTTAATTTCAGGAAGAAATTTATTATAATTATTAAATCTAAGTCATTAAATAATTAATGGTTATTGAATTGTAAATATAAGTAGATAAATACATATACCTATAAATAATTATGCTATTCCTATTATACACAACCCACCAAATATGGACTGGATTTAGTTATCAGGTCATTCCCAAGTACCTACAGTATTCGTAGGTAGTTCCTTAAACTATGTGGTGTTCCAAGTAAGAACTGGTGTATGATGATCTCATTTACACCTAGAGTGCAAAGATGAGTTTTCTAGGTCTTCAGTATTGCAACTAAAGCACCAATTACAACTGGAACAATAATAGTATTATTATTTCAGTTTAGGTTTGTTGCTTCCAGTCTTTCAAAACAGGTACATAATTTTAGCATGCTTTTTATTTATGCAATTTATTTATGAATGTGAATTTCATGTGCAAAACTACCTGCAGGAAAACAAAGTATCGGTTGTCACCTGAATTTTATTTTGGCAGACAGCAACAACTTTTAGCATGCTTTATTAATAAATTCAAGAAAGAATAGATACTCACAAACTTCGACTTCACAGGTCAGCGAGTCAAAAACTGAGAGCTTCTTTCCCTCCTACTCTGTTATGGAATTCCGGAAGACTTTACGAAGCCTCAGCCTGAGTAGTACTTTCAGAGGTTTTATGAGATCCATTAGTTTGGAGTGGCCTTTGGTGCTCAGTGGTAAGGTGGATTTGGTGCTCAGTGGTAAGGTGACTTTCATTCAGTTTTGTTTGTTCTTGTTCCTGACCCAGCCTTCAAGGTAAGTCAAGAAAAAAATCTAAATGACAGTGTGAGAAAGGTGTCTCATTAGATATCCAGGTCAATAATATGATATGGTTTTGTGACAATGGCTGCAGCCTATTTAACTTGGAGATATTTATGTAACATGGCACAGGATTCTAACCAGTGTATGGGAGTCTTAATCAGTGCTCTGCATTGGTGAGAAAGGAAAATAGGCATAGTTGTCACAATGAAACTGTCAGTAGGCATAGTTGCCACAATGAAACTGTCAGTAGATATTAATTAAAGGTGGGAATCATGAGGGGTGATTCTGAAACTAGAGATTCTCTACCAAGTTACAGGTACAAATTCCACTCTCAATGTGTGTAAACATTAGCTGCAGTAAAGCTAAAAGGTCTTTGTGTCCTTTATCATAAGGGTGTGGCCTAATGTCAGCTTCATGTTTAAATTTCCGCTGATAAGCAGATAGATGGTAATAAGCAAGGTGCCGTCTTTCGAATCTTTTTTTTTAAGGTGCTGCTTGAGCCTGGGTTTTGTTGCTATACTGGATTATATATGGCAACAAATTACTGCAAGTCTTAAAATGTATTTTCTAAAATTTGGAAGTTTTTTTTTTTAATTAAAGGTGGGAATCATGTAGTTTGGGGCCATGTGTGGGCTCCAAGGTCATTTGTGACTTTCAGAGCCCCAGAGAGGGGCATCCTGCATTTCTTCTATAATTCCCACGTATCTATACATTACCATGTTTCCCCAAAAATAAGACAGGGTCTTATATTAATTTTTGTTCCAAAAAACGCATTAAGGCTTATTTTCAGGGGATTTTTTTTTCATCTACAACAATCTACATTTATTCAAATACAGTCATGTCATCCTCTGGTTGCTGCACAGTGGTGGAGGGCAGGGTTTGACTGCACTGGGGCTTATTTTGGGGGTAGACATATTACGAGCATCCTGAAAAATCATACTAGGCCTTATTTTTAGGTTAGGTCTTATTTTAAGAGAAAGAGGGTATCTAGGGGGCACAGCTCTCTATTGTTTTAGCAAAACAATTTTTAAAAATTTGCTTTGTTTGAAAGTTGAAAATGCATGTGCGGTGGGTGGGATACAGTTTGATGAGTGGAGATGACATAGTTGTTTCCTGTTTCATGCAGAAAACATTCCTCCCTCTGCTCACCATTTAATACAGTTTTGCTGTCATGGTTTATCATCTCTTGCTTGTGTGTTTGTTTATACAGCCATGTACACAGACTTATATACTGTATATATAAGTATCCATGTGCAAAGCAGTCCATTCTTTATGCAACCAAAATAGCACTATCCATATATAGAGGAGAAAATAGGGAACAGCCTTGGAGGTACCCCCAAATATCTGGAAGATACCATGTGAGGGAAAGCTGTTTTAGTATGTAGATAGTTCTAATACAGGGGGAAGTGGTGGTGCTGCAGGTTAAACCACAGAAGCCTCTGTGCTGCAGGGGCAGAAGACCAGCAGTCGTAAGATCAAATCCATGCAAC